ATACACTTCAATCTAAAACTATTTCATGGATGAGACAATCTATTCTGTTAGGTGTGATAATTGATGGGAAGAAAGGGATATAAAAACCCAAAAGAGGACCTTTAATTTGCCGAGGAAACTTTGTTATTGATCATTTGGTCTAGACCCTAGCTGTGTTTAATCTAATTTGAAAAAGGGAGATTTTAGGGCCATGCTTGATGGCTCTTTTCTGGTCCATGATCCATACATCTCACTTTGGTTGACACCCCCCAATCTATCTTCAAACAAGATGAATTTTCTCGTAGATCTGGAAATCTCCGTTTCACAAAACTTTAGAAATCTATAAAGAAACAAACTCATTCTGGTCACAACAAACAATGATTTTATTTATTCTGATAGTTATGTTGAAGGTATACAAAGGAGACATTGGTTAAGCAAAAATTACCACATATAAAGTAATTTTTTATGCAAAAAGGACAGGGAATGTTTGCTATCAATGACAGGCAATCATCTAATAATATATATCCTACACAACTTTTATTTATGTCGTTTGGCCCCTGTACAGACCTGTCATAGGTCCACCAGAGAATCAGCTGTTTACCTATACAGGTGTAACTTACGCCATTAACCCTGTCATACTGGAGATGATCCCAATTTATTTCAGTCCGATCTTTGGAGGTTTCTCTACCTGATCAACAGGTGTCAGTTTACACTGGATGATAATGACAGAGAACGTAAGCAAAATAAAAACATTACATGGCTACTGTTTGGCATAAAATTTTTATAGCTTTGAGAAAGAAGTGTAATTATTACGAAGTTTGATCTTTTTACATTGTGTAATGTAGAGTCTCTTGAAATAGTATCAAACCTGAACGTAACATCCCAGTTAAGAGTCTGTTGATACAAACCTGAACATAAACATTTAGTTTATAGAGTCTATGGAAAGAATATCAAATGAACTTAACATTGAGTCTACAACGATATTAAACAGGTATTTTACTGGTAGGTGTGAAAAATAAATTGTGGGCTTAATATCCTTGTATGATATTGATTCATCAACTGAAAGGACTTCAGGCAAATCCCAGCTCTTTGCTTCAATTCATTATGGGTTATTAAAAATAAACATCAGGATAGAAGCACGGGGCCCAATTTAATGAAGCTTTAGCATTTGACAGAAAAAAAGAAAATACATCATAGAACTTTGTCAATTAGTAATATGAAATGCTGTAAGGCTTAAGACCTATGTTCAAACTGATATGTAGTTTTGACAGCTAGTTATTCCAGAATAAATCATGGCAACAGATTGATACAGGAAAGGACTATTTAAAAAAAAAACTCATCAAAGCTTGCATCTTAATTGGTAAGTTGACTGTTAAACTAAATTGTATTGAACAAGTCATCATAATTTTTCCAGGAAATGAAGGAGAGTTGGTAGAGTTGATTAGTTTGAATAAAAAAAATGCATTCAGAATGGATAATTATTGGAAGCTTTTATAATAGTTTGAAAAGGAGAATTTGATGAGGTTGCTTTTTGGTATATTATGGCAAATTCTGTGGTTTTCAATTTTGAACTCCCCAACATAAGATCATCTAAAAATGATTAGATCAGGATATTATTGTTTTAAAACATGAGAGAGGTTTCATGTTTCTTAGAACACTTGTCATGTTTTAGCTCTATTACACCTGTACATGTAGAATGAAATTTGTCTCCATTTTCCATCCTCTGATAGAATTGGCCATCTTCTTCCTGCTGTTTTCTGCAGCAACAATAGCTCTCTTTTTAAAATTGACCATTTCCTTATCTTTCTGCTACAGTAATGATTTGGTGAATGCTGGAGTCTGTGACAAGGGTATAATTTTCAAGATGTTTTTTCTCCTGCTGTCAGATTCAGATTCTCCTGACGCTCTAATCTCACCAATAGACCGTAAAATCACATATAATTGTTACAGCATTTTAAGTACTCCGTATTGAAGTCTGGAAATAGAGATCCCAACATTGTGAAAGTCTCTCTATATTAAAGTCTATAGAATTCCCCTCTAGTGTAAATAAAGGCGGAACAGAATCTCAGTCAGAGTATATAGTTCCGCTGGAGAAATTTTGGTTTTTCTGTTTGGCCAACCACCCTCATTCTGTCTCTGTTATTGTTGTGAAAATTGACACAAACAGGCCACAAAAGTTATACTGTAATTTGGTAAGATTTAAGTCAATATTATCCATAGATAAATAGTAAGTCGTAAATTAAAAACTAAAGGCACTCTTTATTATGAAAATAAAACTTCTAATATTTGCTTTTAGCGGTTTTGATAGATGTGGAATTAAGGAATAAAGGTTTAATTAAAATTTTGATTTGTACAGGTTGGTGTAATGCTAAGTAAACACTAAACACTATAGTAAGAGTTCAAGGTTTCTCTGTCATTCATAGATACTGTTATATAAATTTCTCCAGAATTGCTTGGGTTTGTCATAATCAGTGACTTGGATTTCAAAAAAGTCATCAAAGAAAACATTAACCTTAAACTTTAATTAAAAAAGAGCTGAGAATGTGTGATGTAGTCTTTTTGTAGGGAGCTCTTTGTAGACATAAACCATCAGAGGTGGATAGCGTCTCGTACATCAGATGTTGTTCAGGATGCATTAGAGGACATTCAATAGTATCTAAGTTTTCTAAAATTCATAATGACCAGTAACTTCTGAAGACATTTATAGTAATATCAAAAGACAAGCAAATATACATTTAGTCATCTTTACTAGGGAAGGGTTTTCAATCTGAGCAGAGGAACCCAAAACCCTTGGCTTGGAGGAGATGACATTTACTCCATTTATATTGGGAAGTTGGGGGGGGGGGGGTTGTGATTTTCACTGTGGATCAATTGTTTGTACAGATTCATGTTTTTTTGCAATGGCTAAGGTCCTAAGGAAACACATTTTTTTTACAGGAATTGTTACTGGAAATAAGTACTGGATGGGTAATATTAATGTAAGATGTCATGACTGCAGTTGACCTATTTGGGCAGAGGTTTTGCAGACTTGTACAGGAGAAAGGCAGTACCATGTAGATAGATAATGACACTATATAAATAATATCTTTTAATAGGAGTGATATAGTTTAATGACACAAACACAGAGATATATATGTTCTTGGAGACAGTAATATGATTTCTGTACACTGGCGCAGACAAACACAGAAAAACGGAACAAAAACCACCACCCATAAACGCGTGGACAGACATGTTAGGTATGATGGCCTCATGATGACCAATAATGGCTGGCCAGCTAGATGTCTCCTTCAGATGGACATAAAATATTGCTCATCATATCACTGTCACTGGGGCAGGCGACCACGTTTACTGCTCCGATGACTATATAAACGCAGAGGAAGTTATGATGTATGGGGGTTTATATTGAACATCAGAGGCACTAACGTTATAATGTCTTAGGAAAATTCTTCTGTTAGACTGAATAGGACTCATCTCAAGGTCAAGGTGTATTACTAGTATATTCTTTGAGATATTGAAAAAGTGTTTCTTTCTTGAAACTACGTATAAACATGTATGACGAATTTTCATGAACAAGTGATATATTGAGAAGAACAAAACATTTTGGTTTATGTTAGAAGAAAAAAAATAGTTTAAGTCGTAGAGAACTGAAAATAAGGTGTGAAGATCTGCGTAGAAAAATTAACACAAGAAGATAGATGTCTGATCTAACTTGTCTATGAGTTTAGAATTTACGATTATTATCCTAAGTCTTAAGTCCTTTACACAGCTTACTTTAAAGATTAAAGTGGTTCCATATTTACACATTGTTCAAAATCTGCATTTCCTAGCCATGCAAACATAAACTTGACTTTGATGGTTGTTTTATCGTTTTAAAATCAGTAAAACATCGACCATTTAAATTTCAATTTGTTGTCGGGAGATGGATAGATAAGTCGGAGATCGAGAGTACAAAACAAAGTGATGTCTCCTCATGTGGAAAAAGCATCTGTCATTAATTGCAGGTCAAAACCATTGCATATATCTATAAACATGCCTTGATAGTAAACAGTGAAGAAAAAAAATTTACGTGACCCTAAATTTCCTATTGAAATATGTTGAGATATCTTGTATACGATTGAGAATTGATGTCCTTTTTTCGCATTAGCAGTTTGGGTGGATTAAAGGAAAAAAGATTTAATTGATGGATAAAATTTTAATTAAGATGGGATATGGAAATGAGAAGAGACAAAAACAATTTCTTAAGAAGATATTTTCAGAGGTTTCCTCCAAAAGGAATTGTTTTGAACCTTGATGCTTGTCATTCAGTGAATTGTAAAAGCTACAGGAACCTTCCTTGCTCTGTTGAATATGAACTTATAACAGAGGAAAGACAAGAGGATTAATGTAGAACAGAGGAGGTATTTTTTTTAGTTAATTATGTCTTTCAACAAGTGTAGCTGTATAATACATAATTGTATTAATAGAATGTACTAATAATTTTATAGTTCTTCCATGATTGACATGATGGAGCTCCATTCTTATTTGTTACATTAAAACCTGAGAACTACTGAGGCTTTGTCCCATAGCCCCCACCCTGGGGCCCCACCCCAGACCTCCAACTGATTTGGTCTCCCTATTGAAGAATCCTGTGTCGACCACTGCCAAACCTTTTAAAAAGCTCACTAGTTGCATACTCTCAAGTGATTTAAATACAAGTCACCATGGGGTAAAGGATGTGATTTGCAACAGGTTAAAAGCAGTTCAATTGAATTTACAGGTTCAATTTGAATTGTAAATAAAAAAATCTCCAATTACAAGTTTTAAATTACAAATCTTGCAATAGTTTGTTTTGTATATCCATAAATCACATGGAGGTGCATGATTCATTCTTGCTTTACACCTTGTGTCATTCATGTTTAACCAGATATTGAGCCTTAAAATTGTTTAAAATACAGAGTTCAAAAAATAATTCCACCATACAATTATATGTTTATTTGGTAAGACTCGGGTATGTATTTTCACTATGGATGATTAAATTTCAGACAACAAGAAGCAGAGAGAGTTAATAATAAAGATCCACAACAAGTCTCTCGGAGCCAGACAATACTGTATACAGAAAGACCAGAATAAATGTAGGTATTATATAAACATTTCAGCAATGCGAATAGTGTGAAAATCTGTTTATATACATATCAAGGGTATTGTCTGCTAAATGTAAGAGACAAGTACAGCTAACGAGCTCAAAACTCCATCTTAAGCATTTTCACAGAACTTTATAAACCAAAAACAATTAAAAATTTTCAATTTCTCATTTGGGTAGAAGAGTAGTCTGATCTAAGTCCTGACCAAGTGGTATTTAAACCTCTGAAGTTTTGACTTTGAACTGGGTTTTTTTGGATAGTTTAATCTAATTGGCTGTATCCTAAACCTTAAAGAATGACGATACCTACAAAGTTTTAATCAGAAACTAAATTAAATGAATGATTAATTATGATGTAGATATGTAAGATGTCTTTGAAGATGTGCTCGTTACTTGTGTAGTGTGTTCTTTTGACCCTGGCTTCATCACTTTATGTGATGTATTGGTTCCCTCTGCTGATGGATGGGAAACCTTCAATAGAATCTGGTAAACATAGGCTTCAATCCTAGAATTAGAACTTCACTGGAGACTTTTTACGTATTTTCTGACCTTTTTTTAAAAGAAGGAGGCATTTTAATTTACAAAATACAGTTTTAAGTTACTTATTACTTTGAATTAATTCCTTATAATTAACATAGATCGTGTATCAATTTCTGTCTGCTGTACACTATGGATTTGGGTTAAATCTGTGAGTGTTGAGGTTGTAAATTAATTGAGGACTCTGTAGTCAGTATTGATCTGTTGGACGTGTCACTCCTGATAAGTCTGTGACTACTAGCCCTTATAACGGAGGTCACATTGGATTGCTAAACCATGCCTGGTCAATTTAAAAGGCAATTTTGCTGATAAGAATGGGACATATCTTCTCCAACTTGTTCTATCTCTCTTGAAAACAATGTGGCAAGTGGTGACGATAAGATATTGAGGGCAGATAGAGGAAATGAAATTACTGGATACAAGATAAAGGAGATTTATAATAAATTTACACCCAAACTGAGATTTAGCTCTTAAAATAATACAGATTTCTTGTGGGAAAAAAGATTTCTGCATAGATAAACAAAATCGTAAATTGTTTTTAAAAGTATGATGGTTGATGCCTATGAGGCAGGTCCTGCTGTTTTTTAATTGCTAATGCCAGCTTAAATTCCCAATATAATTTGATCTGTTGATGAAGCTTTATTTTAAGGTTAATGAATCCAGTTCATTGACGTTATTTTTGCTATTGGAGTCGGTGGAAGTGAAGAAAAGCAGTGTGGCTCTGACTGTTTTATGTCTGAGAAGAAGATGGGAGGATCAAAAAACCATATTCCAGCTCGCGGGAGGTGTTTACATGAGTCAGTGAGGTACGGAGGTTAGGGCAGTAAACTGCTGAATCATGGCACTGATCCCCGCTGTTAACAGCCAGGCCGACCTTCTGCCCTGCGCTCCTGTACAGCATCAGTATCGAGAGGCAGAAAACGGAGAGACCATGACTATTTTCTGATTCTACACTATCATCACCATCTTGACCCTGTTTTTGGTGAAGGCGCTGTCTTCTGTTATTAGTTCTATGATAGAGATTTTTTGTAGGGATAGGGAGACATTTGTATCTCAATTGTGTAATGATAAGAATGTGGAGTTGTCAGTGCGACTCAGGATGTACAGGGGGCGATGCAGTGGCAGGCGGGTTTTACATGAAGACTGACATGTCTCCTCAGCTCTGTTGATGCTAATGTCTGAAGCTGTGAAGCTCCCAGGAATGCATGGAAACATGGGACTGCAGTCTGGCATGAAACTTCTTCTTCACCTGTAGGGAATCAGTATTGGAAGGCTCAGGATTTATCAAATGAATCCTCAACTTACTTTTACAGTATTTTAGGAACCTGCATCGGTGCTAGAGAGATTTTATCTCAATCTGAATTACTTTGTGCATTCATATTCTGTCTTACTGCATCAGGGGTAAACTTGGGACTTGTCATAACCAATAGGCTCTTTCTCCAGTACCAAACACCTTTTCATGAACAAACTTTTCTGCACTATGTTCTTACATTGAGTCTGCTTTCTTCAGTTTATAAGACCACATCATTCTGTTATTCTCTCATTTCTCTGATTCTCTCTCTCTCTCTCATAATGTAGCTGGTGGTCTCTGATTCAGTAAGGAACAATTAGATCCTAACAGGTCATACAGATAATACATGTTAATAGAAATGGCATTGAACCTTGTTCCCAAAAAATCTTCTGGTTGCTGCTCGTGATTGTTAAGTAAGAAAAAAAACTGGTGGTCTGCTTTGTTTCAGTGTGTGCTCATTGTGTGTGTGGATCCATATCGGGGGATTTTCTGCCTGCCTATTAAAACACAAAGTGATAAAAGTGATACAGTTTGACCCCAGCATCTTATCGCATCGTTTACAGTGATTCGGTACATACTGAGAAATGTCATAAAAGTTTGGGGAGTTGTAGAGATCAACATTTTGAAATAAAAAATGTTTCCAGTCTTTGCATAAAAAAAACTTTCTTAAAAGAATTGCAGAAGTTTTTTTTTCTTATTTGTTTTCTTGTTTTACATGACCATTCATGATTTGTGCAATTAATAGAATTAGAAGAAAGACTTTTTTCTTTAATTTTGAACATCCTCTAGAAAAGTTGTTGAGGAGTTAAGGGAGGTAACTCCCCTCAGTCTTGACGGTGGAGCACCTGTTGTTTTGTCATATGTTTGTTTCGGTTAATTCTTAATTTTGATTGATGGCAAATTGTTTACATTATTTATACATTGAAGAAAACATCAGTGTTTGAAATAATAAAAGAAATGTGTAGTCATTAACCATTGGTGTGGTAATTGTACAAAATGCTTAAACTAAGTCCTGATAAAAGCACAAGAACATAATTTTGAATATCAGTATGTAGAAATTTTCGATTAAAACATTGTTTTCAACAAAGACCTCAATGGTAAAATTGACCGCAACTCCTCCCACTAACACAAAATGAAATTCAATGACAAGATGTGTACATCATTTTGAATTTCTCCATTATTTCACTGACAATAGATTTTGTTCACCTGTTCTTATCTAAGAATTAATTGGCGAAGGTTACACTGCAACAGGTGAAGCATTTTGATGCATGATAATGTATGACATCACAGATGCATGTTATCCTATTTTATCCAATCACATTCAAGGACACATCCCAATCAAATCCCATTAGGGAGAGTAAGAAAATATCCGAGATTCAAATATTTACTAAGTTCACTTTCTGTAGTAAATTGATTAAACAAGTATGATTCAAGTGATTTTTAGAAAAAAAAATCAAGGTAACTTATTATATTCTTTAGAATGCATGTTGCTACTTCATCAAGATAACAGCAAGATTATTTTTTGTAATTTTCAGTTATTTATACTTTAGGTTGCTTGTACTTTTCATGAATGTTTTGAATATTTATATATTAAATCTTAAGCTATTGAAAAAGATGTTATGGAGGGATTGTCAGAGTCTATGAACAGTGTGTTTATGAGTTATATCATTGATTCAAGGCAATATAGGATGTTGGCTATCTTGTTAATTTATATTTCAAGACAATTCTAAAACTTGTATTTAAGGGGGGACCTATGTCGTTCTACGTCAAAGCAGCGTTATGTGACGTCACAATAGCGACGTTTGTTTTTACCTGTTGACTTTTGCAACTGTGATATCATCGTCGCAAACCACGGCCAAAATGTACGATCCTCTCCCATTCTGGCCGTGGTTGAACGAGAAGAGAATTCTTCATAGCTCATTAAAATTTTGACCAATGCGAGTAAAGCATAGTCGGAAGATGAACTTTATCGCGACCTTTCAATATCCAATCACAGTAAAGAAAATATTTCTTGTGTACTGTTGACGTCAGTTGTTGATTTCAATTGCGATGGAAACAAAACTTGCCACTGACTGAATATGACGTCACAATAGAGAGGCGTGAATATTCAAGATTACGACACATTTTGTGATCAAGCAGCCACGGGTAGGAGAGAGCTATATGTGGACTCCGGACCGTGGCTTGAGACGATGCTGTGATATAGGCATAACATTGTTAATAATCAATAACGTACACAATTTACAAAAAGAAAATTTATTCATCATTAATAGCAGTTTTATTTGATTTATAGAGTTTGTTTATATCAGAATTTTCTTCTTTTGGTTGATAATTCATAGCAATTTCAGTTGTGAATAAATACCTCGATTATATGCTGATATATAAGTGCAAAAAGATAAGATCAAATTCAGCAAAGAAAGTAGCTTAAATTCGGGAAATATGTTTAATTTTATGTTTACTATTAATTGTATTTTCTGGGTAAATCTAAGAAAAAAAAATTAAGAAATGTGCTTGTACCTATATTTGTTTACTGATTTATAGTACATGTAGATTTTATTGTAGAAAGTCATTCCTAGGTTCTAATAGGTTGTTGACGGGGAAATTGGTGGGGGGACGGAATGATTGGAATGAAGAAGAAAAGAATTAATCTGTTAAAATTGTTTCTAATCAAAACAAAATACTCGTTTTTCGCAAAATAGTTTTATATTCGGATGTTTGTCAGTGCTTACTTACCTTTTTTAGTGCAGAAAGGTCAATATTTATGATACAAGAGTACGAAAATAAAAGAAAACGTCATATTTCTCGTTTATTTTATCATAAAGGTATACCATACTTTTTTCTTTGTTAGAATAAATAGATGAATCATTTCTTTCAAGAAATATGAATTACAACATTTTCACACGTCAAAGACTTTTTAAGATGTTACCTGTTATGCATGTCGGAATCGTAAAAAATACGACAAGAAAAACGGGGCGATACGCACATTGTGTTCCATTATAATTTTTCATGCGAGATGAATTACAATGAATTTGCCTTCATTATAAAGATACAAGTCATATAAATTAAATATCTGTTGATTTTGAATATGATTTGACATTTTTGGTTCTTTTTAGCGCATATTTGGGGTAGAGCAATAATGCCTGAGAATAATCTATTTTTAGCATTTC